CGATTCCAACTGTTCCTGAAACGTTTTCTTTCGGTTGCGAATGCTCTCCCCGTACCGCCAAGTGCCAGACCTTCCTTCCCCTGCGCACCTTCCGCAGCGGATCCGCCGAAACGATTGCAATGAGACATCATATGGCAACTCATCATTTTCACCTCGCCTCCGAATGACCGTCGAGGGCGATCACGCAGCGTGCAAAGATAAATCAAACGCGTCTCACCCTCCCGCCCGCATGCCACGCGATTTGGTTTGTATGATTTTTTGCCGAAGTATCGTCGATAGGAGCAAGGTGCGGGTTTCAACTCAGGGCGCGCTCGCAGAAAAGAAAAAGTACAAAAAAGAAAAATAAGAAAAAAAAAAAACTGAGAAAAAGGAAAAAAAAAAAGAAAAAAAGAAAAAGAAACAAAAAAAAAAAGAAAAATATCAAAAAAACAATAAAAAAAAAAGAAACGAAAAAACAAAAACTAAAATGCTACAAAAGAAAAGAAAAGAAAAAAAAAAATAAAGAAAAAAAGAGAAAAAAAAAGACAAAAAGTAGAAATAAAAAAGAATGCAAGAATGAAAAGAAAAACGATAAAAAGAGAAAAAAATAGAAAATAAAAAAATAATAAACAAAAAGAAAAAAAGCAAAAAAAAAAAATAAAAGGTAAGTCATGGACCTCAAAACAAAAATAAGATCACAAGATCACCACGCAGCTCGAAGACTGAAACCAAAACAGCAAAACGGAAAAAATCTGAGACAAGTCAACGTGACCAGGACAATCTGCATATGCAGCATGCACCATGCTCCAGATTCCCGATGACTCGATATTTTCGAGTCTCCGCCTCCAGGACCTCCCGACCCCCTCCCCGGGGCCAGCTGGCTTGTCGTCCTGAATCGATTTTGACGGCCCACGGCTGCCCAGAAGGCCGAACATTCTAGACATCGGTCGGGGAAGCCCAGGCCAGGAGGGGAGAAACAGCAACACTCTGACCTTGGGGCCTGGGTGGCCAGCCGCCGCCCGAAGAGACAGAGGAAACATAGCTGTGCACATGAACCGATTCTGGCCAGGCCCATCCTGAGCCCAGGATCGGTGCATGCGCCTTCGTCGTGGCTTGGCCAGGGAGGTGTATGTATACCCCTATCCTGGGCCAGGATGCCGAACCAAACACCAAGATCGGTGGTTCTCCTCGCCCGAAGAGAGACCCGAAGATCCGACATCTGATATTTTCCACGACGGACCCCCCGAAGTTCCGCCCCTGGGCCGGCTCTGCATCTGGAGCCGTTCATTTCACGGCCTGGCGAATGAAGTAACAGAATGTCGAAAAGTCAGCGGGGCTGCACTGCCTCGAACAGCCCTGCAAATAGGGGCCCGGGACTGTGGAAAGGTAAGGTGGGTTGCACTACCAGCCTTGCAGACAGATGGAGTAGCAGAATTTCGAAGATTAACCCTGCCGCTCTCGAGGCAAAAATCGCCCTGACCCGGTGGCGCAGAGGCTTTCGCACCGCGCGGGCGTCACCTTTTCTCTGCGCCCGCGCGGTGATGGGGGGGGCTGCACCGCGGCCAGCGGGCCCGCGAGCAGGGTGAATTGGGCCAGGGCTTCGCAGAAGGCGCAGCTGTGCACCACCACGCTGCCCGGTCATGCCATCCTTGGCCCCAGCGCGCGGTGCATACAGCCATCGCGTCTCGTGAGGCGCGCAGACGAAGGAACGAAACGGACCTCTGTCGCCAGGGACGCCTCGGCCACAGATGGGGTCCCCGACCTGCACCTGAGGAGCGGCCCGCAAACCAAAGCCCCTTGGGAGCCGAAAGTGGTCTTCATTTCATCGTTGTCAGTGCGCTCCCCCTGGCCGGGGCCAAGCTGGGTCTGTGCACCATCGCGGGTACCAGTGTGGCTTTGGCCGGGCATGGTGATGGCGCGTGTGTGCCTCTTGTGCAAGGAAAGCGCCATGGGAGAAACAAGCACGCAACACAACATGTTGGGGCAGTTTCGGGCCTCGGGTGACTTACTCATCTCTTTTCCCTCTCCCCCTGCTCCACTCTCCCTCTCCTTCCCCCCCGTCTCTCCCCGTCCTCCCTCAGCAATTTTACAAATTCCTCTCTCTCCCTGGTGACGTCAGGGAAATGGCCCGCCCCCCCCGCGTGCTGGTTTTTACAACAAGATTCCTGGGAAACGAGTTTTCGCCAAAATGCTGCTTTTGCTGAGGCGCTGGCTTCATTTTCGGGCCACCGTTCGTTCCGACTCGTGCTCCCGCTGCAGCGCTGGCCTCATTTGCGCGCTTCCGCTCGTTCCGAATCGTGCTTCGCTGCAGCGTCGGCGTCAAAATGTACAAGATACCCCCCCCGAAAAAATCATCGGAAGTGATTGCGCATTCGGTGTTGATTCGTTGATATTTGGGGTCGCAGAAGCCTCCCCCCACACTGGGGCGTCGCCACGCCATGCTATGTCAAATCCCGCGTCCTCCGAATTGTGCTCCCGCTGCAACGCAAATCGCGCGCAATCGTGCCTTCCGCGTCCTGCAAATCGCGCGAACGCCCAAAGAGACTCCCAGAGGGCCCCCGCAGACTTCTCAAAGGGACGACCAGGCTCGCCTCCCAGATGGCCAGGATGGCACCGCCGTGCCGCCTAGACGATCCAAAATGTCCCAACACAACCAACATCCGATAGCCTTTACACCCGCAACCCAGGCACGGTGGCGGGATGGGCCGAAAGCCATCAGATGTATCGGGGCGCGCAAACATGGATTAACGATCCATGGATCTGGCGAGCGCTTGCCAGATCCATGGATCCCGGGAGGTGCCCCCATGCGGCCGGTGTCGCCTCGCTCGGCGGCGGAGATCGGGCGATTTCCCATGGAAACGGTAAGCCACGCCCCCTTGATCCATGTTTGCGATCGCCTGATTGTAACTTTGTCCTTCGTCCCTCTGTTGTTGAAGGGGCCCTGGGACACACACACACACACAAAACAATATACACAAATACCAGGATTCCCCACATATATCTATGTATATATATATATATATATTATGGGTTTTTGTCTTCCCCCCCACTTCCCATATTTTTCCATATTTTCAGGGGAATCGACGATTCATTGTGTCTGCGTTTTTTCCCCCTCCTGAGTTGTCTCGATCCCCTGGCTGACTCGCGTCGCGACCCGCAGCCTGCCACTCAGCAAAAGGGGCGGTGGCGCGGCGGCGGCGGCGCGGCAGTCGTAAGCCGACGGCTACCCGCGGGGGCTTCGGCTCGTCCTCCGGGAGCCGGGGCCCCCTGCGCTCTCCTGTCGCCTAAGGGTCCCAGGCGTTGCCTCCTCCTCCATTCTATGATATGTTTAGTCTCCTTCACTCGAGAACCCCTCCTCCTCCTCCCTCTCCCTCCTCCTCATCCTCCTCCTCCTCCTCCCCCCCCCTTCTTCTCCTCCTCCTCCCCCCTCCCCCATCCTCCTCCTTTCATCATCTCCTCCTCCTCCTCCTCCTCCTCCTCCCATCCCTCCTTCCTCCTCCTCCCTCCTCCCCTCCTCCTCCCTCCCTCCCCCCCCCCTTTCCCTCATGCTCCTCACCCTCTCCTACTCCTCCTTATCCTCCTCCTCCTCCCCCTCCTCCTCCTCCTCCTCCTCCTCCTCCATTTCCTCCTCCATTTCCTCCTCCTCCTCCTCCTCCTCCTCCTCCTCTTCCTCTTCTCTCCTCCTCTCGTTTTCCCCCGTTCCCTCACCTCCTGTGCTCCCCCTCGTGGCCGTTCTGGCCCTCTCGAGCTCGCTCGCTTCCGCGAGTCGGCGGCGGCGGGAGCGGCCCCGATCAGCAAGGTACCTTCTGGCCCCTAGCCGTAGGTCGGGCGTGTCCCCCTGCAGGCAAATGTTGGACGAACAATAAGAAATAGTCAAAACATACTACTCAATACATGGCCCACAAAATAGTCTGAACACATCGTCCGACTCAACCTCAGCCTGTCTTTGTTCTGTGCCAGCGGACGGACGTCTCGGTCGGCGTGTCTCATCCCACGTCCTCCCGCTTGCCCCTCCTCGGAGCCTCCAGACGCCTCGCTCCTCGATGATTCTCGATCCTCGCCCCCCCCTGCTCTCTCTCCTCCTCAAGTCTGCCTCCGCGACCTCTTGCTCTTCCTCCTCGCCACCCCTGCCACCTCCTCCCCTCCTCTGTCCTTCTCCACCCTGTGCGGAGCAACGGGTTGCGCCTGTTGAGGGGTGGAGACGCCCCTTCTCCCCAGCCTCTTACACTCCGCGCCACTCACCCATTTTTTTCCCACTGCTGCTGCTACTGCTTACATATTTCCCCAGTCCCCGCGATGCTGTTGCCCAATCTGCTCCTCCTGCCACACCGCATCCTTGGCCCACCGCTGCACCGTGTCTCCGACCTCTCGCAGCAAACTCCCCTCGCTCCGAGCACCAGGCTTCCCTGCGGAGACTCCCAGAGGCCTCCAGAGGCAAGCAAAATACGCAGCCCCCTGCATTTGCGGAGAAGAGTGAGGTGGTGGCGGGGACCTCGGCAGTCTGCGAGGCTTTGAAGAAACCAGCCGCAGGCGCCTAATGTTCACAAATTATACAACGAGCCCGCCGCAGGCGCCAATTTTTCGTGAAAACAATGTGGGTGGGTCGCTGGTGGGTCGCGGGTGGGTCGCGGGTGGGTCTCGGGGTGGGTCGCGGGGTGGGACGCGGGTGGGTCGCGGATGGGTCGCGGGCCGGGTCGCGGGTGGGACGACGACAACACACAACAATAACAAACACCGCAACAACAACATAAAACAAGAACAACTCGCACCGCGGAACCTCAGTTCAGCCACGCGCCCAGGGACAGCGAACGATCGTTCGCCCCCCTCATTCTGATGAGCAGAAACTATGCCCTCGATCGCCCTCACTGCTTCTCATTCCCCCTCCTCCACCTCCTCCTCCTCCTCTTTCCCGGTCGCCTGGTCCAAGGCGAGGCCCCCTCTAGATTACACCGGGCGCAGAGCGCAAAGGGGCTCACATGCCCGCTCGCAGGGGTGAGACCGCCTCCCAGCCACGGCAGATCTCATGCAACCAGCACGCTCTCGTACACGGGGATCATGTACCTGCGCTGGCCCGCGGCAGGCGGGCAGCGTGCTGGGCATGATGCAGATCAGGCCACCGCGGTCTGCGGAGGCCTCCGAATCGGGCGCTGCTGAGGGGGGTGAGGGCGGGGCAGCCATCAACGCGGGGGGAAGATAGGTGCACCTTTCGTGTAACATTTGGGCCCCAAGGGGCCTGGGACCCCTTTAGGGCCCCGCGAGTGCGAGACACGTGTACCTTTCTTCGCCGCCCTGTTCATCGCCCTCCGACTACGCAACGCCCGACGAAAAGGGCATACAAGCATCCAGGAAACTCGACCCTCGATATCGAACCGAGAACCTCGAGAGGCATGCGTCGGAGATCTTCTGACCCAGGTCAATCCAGACACGGGTCAATCAGGCCTTGCCGACTCCTGCAAGATCCTGCAAGATCCCGCACCCAAACCCGGGTCAATGCGAAGGATCCTGCACGATCATCCAGGATCCTGCACCCAAGCCCGGCTCAGTGCGACCCTGGCCTTTGCAGGATGCTGCAAGATCGGGCGCTCTGGCTGACCCCCGTTTGCATCGACCGCCGTCTCTTTGGAGTCCCGAAGCGGTGACCTCGAAATCCCCCAGGGCCTCACCGCACGGTCCGCCAACGCACGGCTCTGGGACCCCGGAGGCCCCAATCGCCCGAGACGTCCTCGGAGAACGACCCGAGTCCCAAAACCGTGCGGTGACCCCCAATCCCCACCGACTCACCGCGCGGTGTGGTCACCACCCCGTGTGGGGGCCCCCGAGTCTCCAGGCCCCCGAGTGCGCATCGGCCCCGAGTGGGACGCCGGGGGCGCGCGAGAACTGGGCAGGGGCCAAGAGCGGCAAGGACCGATAGCACGCGACCCCTGGCCCCGTGCGGCGGGCGCGGGGACCTGGCGCGCGGTCGCCGAAAATCCGTGGATCGGGAGGCGGTGCCCTCCCCCAAAATGCGGCCGGCGCCGCCTCGCTCGGCGGCGGAAAGCGGGCGACGTCCCCTGGCAAGCGGGACCCGTCGCGCATCCACGCCCCCTCGATCCCGTGTTAGCGATCGCCTGACCTCGTGCGGCGGGCTGGGGCCCCAGAGGCACAGCGGAAGGCTCACCCCTCGGGAGTGCTCGCGGCCCGAGCCGCGTCTGCACTCGTTGAGGATCGAGGGCCGGAGGCCTGGGACGCTTCTCGCCCTCTTCGGCCTCCAAGGGGACTCTCTCGTCGCCACGGCCGGAACCCGATATCCTGGCCGAAACGTAGTCCCGACGCCCCTTGTGCGGCAGAGGGCATCAGACCCTGACGTGCCACCTGCCGATCCCGATACCAGACTGCACACCGCCCTCGCCGCACTCCTCCTCCCTCTCGTCCTCCTCTTCCTCGAGCTTCTCCCCCCTCCTCCTCCTCCTCCTCCTCCTCCTCCTCCTCCTCCTCCTCCTCCTCCTCCTCCTCCTCCTCCTCCCTCCCTCCCTCCCTCCCCCTCCCGGTCGAGCTCTGTTGCTCGAGCGCCCTCCTTCTCGTCCCCGCGCCCCTCGCCCTGCCAGCACCCCCGGGTGCTTGATGTTGATGAAGGCGTCCTCCCCGCCGTGCGTCTCGAAGATCTCCAGCGTCTCCTGCTGCCCGCGCGGCCGCTCCGCTCTGCCCAGCCCTTCTCCCCCGCCTCCCCGCCTGCACCTGCCCGTCACTGCGGGTCCACCCGGCCGCTCTCCTCCCTGGCCACGCTCGGGCATCCGCCCGACGTTTCCTCGTCCCCTCCTCCAACTCCTGCCGGTTCTCCTCTGGGCTTTGCTCGTACATATTTTCTCCATGTCCCTCGTCATGTGAATATGTACGTATGCGCAGACACACATTCACAAACACATAAGACATGTATCATGTCATATGTGTGTATCGAAACCAATTGCCCTAGCCAGCCCAACCAGCCAGCCCAACCAACCAGCCACCCCGCAACCCCAGCCAACCCGCCACCCCGCCACCCCGCCCACCCCCGCCGCCTGCCCTCCGTCACCGTCGAGAGGGGGGGGGAAGTGTTTCTTACAAGCGAAAACTACAAAAATCACCCTCCCCGGGTCCGGCGGGACAGCGGAGGGAGGGGAAATCGCACCGTACTATGCGGGAGGGGGATTCGCGCCCGAGGTGCCCAAAGACGATTTAGGGCCTCAAATGCGACACTGTCGTCACTTTATTACCTTTCACCGCGCCCCCCTTCTCAACGGAAAGGCTCCCATCCGTGAAACTGTCGTCATTTTTCAGCCCCCGCGAGAGGCTTCTTGGAGGCCCCCAGAGGCTCCAGGAGGGCCCATGGCGGCCTCGGGAGTGCCTCGGAGATCTCTGGAGGGCCCCAGGAGGACCCACTCTGCACCGCGCCCCCCTTCTCAACGGAAAGGCACCCATGATTGAAATTGTTTTCATCATTCCGCCCCCGCGAGAGAGTTCTTAGAGGGCCCACAGAGGCTCCAGGAGGGCCCATGGCGGCCCCGGAAGAGCCCACGAGATCTCAAGATCTCAGGAGCCCCCCGGAGAGCCCCCACGAGATCTCAAGGACCCCCTCTGGATCTCAGGGAGCTCCAGAGGGCCCAGGAGGCTCCAAGAGGCCCCAAGAGGCCCCGAAGAGCCCAAACAGGCCTCAGGACCCCCAGCACGCTCTAGGAGAGCCAAGGCGACACCAAGAGGCTCCAGGACGGGCGTCATTCCCTCTCCTCCTCCTGCTCGTCGTCGTCATCCTTCTCCTCATCCGTCCTGCTTCAAATCCTTCCTCACCCTCTTCCTCCTCTTTCTCCTCCTCCTCCTCCTCCTCCTCCTCTTCCTCCTCCTCCGCCTCCTCCTCCTACCTCATCCGTAGCCTTGATGGCTCCGATAGCGCCGTGCGCGAGATCCGCCTCCTCCCCATCCGTCCTCCTCCCTCCTCCCTCCTCCTTCCCTCCTCCCTTCTCCCTCCTCCCCTCTCTCGGGAGCGTCACAAAGAGGCCTTCCGAGGATAATTTCACGACAACAAGGGCGCCGACACGATGAACAGACACCACGTCGGGACTCTGGGAACGGAGTCGAAGACGAAATCTCGAATAACTTAGTCTTCGATGTTCGGGGCATTTTTCTGACCACTTGCGAGCCTTGTGGAAACTTCCGAGAGCCTCAGGGGTGGATGTGTGGCGCAAGAACACGAGTGGAGGAGGAGACAACACGACGCTCCACGGAATAAACTGCACCCAGATGGTTTCTACCCCCGTGAGGGGCGTTACAGGGTACATAGGTAGTTAAGCACAGGCACACATGATACGTGTGTCGTGAAATATCTATCTATATGTATGTATCGTCGCCCTCTTGCCCATATCCCTCCTGCCAGTCCCCACTCTTCCGCCCTCGCACGCAACATGCCCCCCTTCAACGCACTTCATTCCTCGTGCCGCCTTTCATTCCCACCTGAGACTATGCCATATTTAGCTCCTCCTCTTCCTCCTCCTGCTGCGCCGAACTCCTGAATCAGTTCGCCGAGGTTCATGCGCTTCCTGGCGACGGGCAGTGCAGCGGCCGGGGGAAGAGGAGGGGGAGGGATGAGTGGTAAAGAGAGAGTGGGAGAGGGCAGTGAGGGAGGAGGAGAGAGAGAGAGAGAGAGAGAGAGAGGGAAGGGGTAAGTTAGGTGCGCTCGCGCCATATCCGACATTATACCCCTCCCTTTCACGACGAGGCGACGAACGAGGCGACACCGCTCCCCCGCGCGTGCCCGCGAACGCGCGGAACACCGAATGCAAGGAGGAGGAGGAGGAGGAGGAGGAGGAGGAGGAGGAGAAGAAAGAGGAGGAGAAGAAAGAGGAGGAGGAGGAGGACGAGGAGGAGGACGAGGAGGAGGAGGGCGGCCAGCTCAGCCAGCGGCATCCCTTCCCTATCTGCTGGCCAGGGTGTCCCAGATCACATGGATCCTCACACTGACCCCGTCCTCCCCAAGCCCTTTTTTTCCAGAGGAGGACGATGATGATGATGCTGGTGATGATGATGATGCTGATGCTGATGCTGATGATGATGATGATGATGATGATGATGATGATGATGATGATGATGAGGGGGAGGAGGAGGTGGCGAACGAGGAAGAGGAGGAGCAAAGGAAAAGGAGAGGATGCTGAAGACGGGGAGGAGCATGCGCAGGCATGGCAGGACGGGCAGGAGGAGCAGGGCCGAGCGGAGGAGGGTCGGGTGTGTGCTCCCGCGCTGGGGCGAGGGCCCCCGCTCGGAACGACGAACGACGGGAGCACGGCGCCGATCTTGGAGTGCGACCAGTGCAGCGGCAACTACACAGGGCCGAGAACAGCCTAGACACAACACGTGCGCCATAGTGTTGTTCGAATGCCCTGTGTGTGAGAGAGAGAGAGAGAGAGAAACAACGAGAGAGAGGCACACACAGAGAGGCAGAGGGAAGGCGACAGAGAGAGAGAGAGAGAGAGAGAGAGAGAAAGAGAGAGAGAGAGAGAGAGAGAGGGATGGCACGCGAGAGGAACGCAGGCGACGCCACTGAGCACTAGGAGGGGAGAGAGGGGTCGTACTCGTATGGTGCAGCTGTAGGGAAGGGAGGGAGAGCGAGGGCGAGGGCGAGAGGGAGGGGGGGGGGGAACACGACGATATGGTTCGGAGGGGGAAGGACACCTGTGTGGGGGAGGAGGAGGAGGGGGAGAGATGAAGGGACGACGAGGGGGGTGAGGGAGTAGAGGGGTAGAGGGTGGCGAAGAGAAGGGATGGAGGACTGGAATGGGGGAGAGGGGATGGGGGTGGTCCACATTCCACTGTAACTGCTGCCCCAATAATCCTGCCTTTCCATTCCTTTCCCCCCCTGCCCGTTCTCCGCCCCTCCCCGTCCTCCTGCTCCTCCTCCCCCCTCATGCTCCCTCCTCCCTCCTCCCTCTCTCACTCCTCCTCCTCCTCCTCCTCCCTCCTCCTCCTCCTCACTACTCCTTCCCCTCCTTCCTCCTGCTCTTCACCTCCTCCTCCTCCTCTTCTCCTCCTCCTCCTCCTCCTCCTCTTTCTCCTCCTCCTCCACCCCCTTCCTCCTCTTCCTACTCCTGCTCCTCCCCGACCCGCCCAAACAAGGTCGGCGCTTCCACTTCGAAGGCCGAACACTGGGTTCGCCTTCGATGCGGTCCCAAACCAAACGGAATCCGTTCTGCCACGCTCCGCCTTTTACCCAACACGGACGAAGATCCGCTAACATCGTCCCAAACAGGCCCCTCTATGGCCCCATGCAGCGCCCATATGGTCGCCAAAACATCATGAGAACTTCCCAGCCCGCCCTACGGGGACCCCTCCTCCTCCTCCTCCTCATCATCTCCTCCTCCTCCTTCTCCCCTACCTCCTCCTCCTCCTCCTCCTCCTCCTCCTCCTCCTCCTCACATCCGTTTGCGTTGTGCACGGAGCAGGCGCGACGCCTGGAGGCCAAGACCTCCAGCACACAGAGACAGGCTTCGGTTCCCCGTTCTCGGCCTCTGGGGGCTGTCTCCGAGCCTCGGGGGCAGTCAGCAAACCGCGAGCCTCGGGAGGAGAGACTGGCCCCCAAGAAGGGGGCCGAGAACCAGGGGGCACGCCCGAGGTCTGGAAGCCTACCCGTCGGCCACACGCTCCCCCTGGGCTTCCCGCGGCACGCGTGCCGACCGGGAGGAGGAGGAGGAGGAGGAGGAGGAGGAGGAGGAGGAGGAGGAGGAGGAGGAGGAGGAGGAGGAGGAGGAGGAGGAGGAGGAGAAGAAGGTTTGGGTTCGAGTGGGCGCCTAGGGAGGCCGCCCGCAGGAGCTCAGACCTCACGTGTGTTGGCTCTCGCACGCCAGCCACGACTGATAACATTACAATTACAATTCCAGATTCAGACAGTTCAGTCAGCCGTTCCCGCTCCGAGCAGCGTGAACCAGCCTGGCACCGACGACGGCGCCGACAAAGGGCAGACGCCCGTACTCTTCTGCGGGTGCATCAGGCGGTGAAGCTTCTGCAAGGGCACCACAGCGCTCAAAGGCATCCAAGTGCGGCACAGATGACTACTGGAGCCCCAGGATGGACGTGCAGATGCGGACTCCACCAACAAGGATGGCAATGTGAGTGCTCATCGTGTGGTTCCTCGTTCGACAAGCGGCGGAGACCGAGCAGGAGCGTTTCTCGCCACAAAGGGCAATGGGGAGGCAACAACCCAGCGCCCAAGAAGAGGCCAAGGCGAGACCGCTCCCAGCAAGAGCGCAAGCCCGACCGCGATGGCCTGGACAAAGCGGCTCGCAAGCTCATCGAGAGAGTGGTCCCCGCCCTGAAACACATTGCCGAGTCGCACGAGGATTGGAGCAAGTGGGAACCTCCAGAGGACCGCCGCATGCACAGCCAATTCCGAGGTCGAGTGAAGACTCGAATGATGGTGCTGGCTCGTTTGGCAGTACAGGCGGTCAGAGCAAGGAAGTCGGACGAGGAGCTGAAGGAGGAGATGGGCATGCTTTTGTATTCCCTGGACCAGCTCAAGCCGCTGAGCGAGGTGAAGGCAGAACACATGGCACGCTTGACAGCCAAGATGGAGGACCTGAAGAATACAAAATGCCGCATCGTCCTGCTGGAGACCCAAGTTCAGGAGATCGAAGACGACATTGCGGACACCAAGACAGCTCTGGCAGAGATCGAGTCCAAGATTGCAGTCGAGCTCAGGGACATTCTTCCAGGTGCAGAGGCAACTACTTCAGGAATGGACACAGCGGGAACAGGCTCGAGAAACACAGCTGCAGCCCAGACGATTGCAACTCTGCAGGAGCAGAACCGCAACGGGGCGACAGCATATGCACAACTCCAGTTGCAGAACCAGCAGATGGTCTACCAGATGGTGAAGATGCAGGAGTACATGCAGCAGTACCCTGGCGGCCCGTGCCCGCAAGTCGGGCCCTGCCCGACACCCCCGCAGCCCAGAGCCCCCATCGGCTACGCGGCACCGCCGATGCCGCCCCTGGGGCCCCTCCCAAGGCAGCCGCCAACCCTGGAGGCGATGGGGTTTACCGCGCCAGCGCCGGTTGCAGCTGTGCCGCAGCCACCGGTGCCAATGGCACAGACGGCACCTCAGTGGAGCGGTGCGGAGCTCTCCCCAGCAGCAGCGGCAGCAGCGATGGGTCTTCCAGACCTAGAGGCGGCGGCGGCGGCAGCGCAGATGGCGGTCAAGGGAGCTCTGGGACCAGGCGTGAGGGACCCCAGGACGGTTCAGTGGGAGGTGGTGGGAGGCGCGCACAGGACGCCACCGCCGCAGCCCAAAGCAGCGGGAGCCAACTCTGTAGAAGAGACCCCCTGGGTGGATCCCGCCCACCTGGCACCGACACAGCCTGCGGGGCCGACCCAGGAGTCACCACGGCTACCATGGCCAGGATCGGAAAAGTTCAGCAGCTTGGTGGCGCAATTCGGAGGCAAGTCGACGGGGAAGGGAACCACGACATCGGAACCGTACCCCACAGGACGCCGCCCAGTTCGATCCGCCGAGGGCGACCCCAATCCCGCTGCGCACAAGTACCATCAGCTACCATCTCAGCCAGAGGGGATGCCAATGGATGCGGGTGCGGCGGCAGCGGCAGCTTTTGCAACGAGGACGGCACCGTGACCAACACAAACGAAGAAGGCTGGAGTATGGTACGTGAAAAGGCACGGACCTCTGGCGACCTCAATACACGGCACTCCTATGGGAAAAGAGGAGAGGCCTAATACCATCATGCTCGACATGGCCATTCTGGACAACAACGAGCAGTTTCACATCGACTGGGGAAAGTCGGTCAATACCTTAGATGATCACGGACATGCTCTCATGGGTCAATGGCAGAGCCTCCGTGCGGTTTCCAGAGTGGTCACGACCAGCTCGGACGACAACGCCTACTACCGTCCTCAGGGTCCGATTGAGAACGGTCTACGATCCATGGTTGATGCGTGGAATGCAGAAGCTTTCCTCTGGACCATCGAGGCGGCACGACAGGATTGGAATGATTGGTGCGTGCCTGCAGTTCGTAATCACCTTGCCTTAACGACAGTGATGAGATGGGATCAGTGCAATAATGCTGCGACTGAGATCGCAGCGGGGCATGGCGCAGTGGGGGAATTGCGCGATACAACAGTCAGCAGAGGCTCTCAGCATTGCTCGCCCGCAACCCTGATGTGTGGGCCAACTACATGATTGAACAGATGGCGAGGATGACGAGAGCTAGGAGATATTCGACACTCCAGGCTCATCAGGCACATCGTCAGCCTCGTGTTGAAGATCGCATTCTAAGGGGTGAAGAACTCTCGGTGAGCGCCATCGAGACAGCTAGACGGGGAGGAAGACTACCCCATCCTGCACATGAGGCACCCGCTACAGAAGCGCCCGAAGTGCATAATCCTGCACACGGGGTCCGTGCTCCAGATGGGACCGAGCCAGGGCTGATGGAGATCGGGGCGCAACCCCAGATCGAGGGCCCAGAGGCACATCCCGTGCCCCAGGAAGGACTGCGACAGCTAGGCTTTGGCAGGTTTGCCACGGGCAACCAGGAGA